AGCCGCGCCGAGGGCCTGGCCCCGCGGGGAGGCCGCTGCCCCCGGAGCTCGGCCTCGCCCTCGGGGTCGAGCCGGGGCTGGGAGGAATCCGAAGGGACAGGATCCGATTTGAAAAGCGGCGTGGTGAACCGGGGCGTTGTCCTGCGCCAGAGGGGGACTGGGTAAGGAGAATTACAGCTGGCGGGTGAAAACGGGAGAGGTCGAATGGGTGAATACAAGGTGCGGAATAGCTGACTAGGGAACAGCAGCACAGAAGAAACCGGTTTGTAATGCATCGTAAACCGAACAGCAGTCAAAAATGCATGGTTTTGGGGGAAAAAAGGCCTATCTTTTAGGATGTGTTAACAGAAGTGTCTCATCTGAAAAATGGAGAAAGAGCAGTTATTTAAGCTAGTGGACAATGCTGCACAAGAGCAGATAGATGGAGACCAGCCACGCATAAATTAGAGGTTTCTAGTCATCACAAGAGCAGGGTCCTGGTAATGAAAAGAAGAAAAACAAGGAAAGAAGAAGGGGAAAAAAAAAACCCAAACACAAAAAACCCCAAGCCCCCAAACCCCTCTATGATTGAAGGGGTAAGTATATCTCTCTCCCTGTTGGAAGAATATTTTCTACCCAGACAAGGCACAAAGAGCCATCAAATAAGGCAAGCCTCGCAAGAGCAACAGCGAGGGCCAGTGCCTCACCTGATTTTAAAACAGAGCTCGATAAACACATGAGCAAGGGTACGTGGCATGGCTGTCCTTCACAGCGAGCGGCACGACTCGGGAATCCAGAAGTTTCTTCCCGCTCCTGTGTCAGTGGGTCAAGGTACACCCAGGGAAAAGGTACAGGATGGAAAAATAACCTTGAGCAACCTGGATGTGCGCTGTGAAATGTTCTCTGTGCTCATGTTATATGCTCAGTAAGACAAAGTTTATGCAGGTAGCCAATGCGATGTTAAACAAAAGTTTTCAGCAGTGGTGTGTACTGAAAATAGTTCAATAACTAACAGTTCTAGGAGCATCTGACTTGTGAACGGAGTCGGACTACAAGATATCCTTAAAGGCTATTTTTATAAATGCTGTCGTTCAGACATCGCTTGTGCTGCCATGCAGAAGTTTTTTATTGTATCCTACCCTATGGTTTCTCCCTTCCTTGGGCTGCAGGTGTGGAGTACACTGAAACAGCATTGTTGCCTTATGTGCAGAGGAAGCCTCACGTTGCTGATCCATCTTGGCCTTACCTCGCTTCGGTGGGCTGATCCCGACGAGCAGGTGAGCCCCCACCCAGCTGCTCACTCACTGTCCCCAGGGGGATGGGGGAGAGAATCGGAAGGGCAAAAGTGAGGAAAACACCACAGAGCCTTGTGGGCTGAGATACAGACAGCTTAATAAGTGAAGGGGAAAAAAAAAAAACCAGGGAAAAAACCCGCCAAGTGGTGCACAGGCAATTGCTCACCATCAACAGACCGATGCCCACCTGGCCCCCAAGCAACGGTTACCTTGGAAAAAACTCCCCCCGGCTTTCTTGCTGAACGTGGTGCTACATGGCATGGGACATCTCTTTGGTCAGCTGAAACATGGTTGTGATACCAACGTTGTTCTCCTAGCCAGCCTGAAGCATAGCACCATATCAGCTGCTATGAAGAAAATAAACTCCTTCCCAGCTAAACCCAGTACACTAACTAAGAACCAGCTCCTGAAAGGAACTCTTCTGGCCAAAGACAAATGTCTTATAAAGCACTGAGCAAAAATAAAAGTGTCTGGATAACAATAACATTTATATATACGTGTGTATGTGTGTGTGTATATACGCGTGTGTATACAAAGATATGTGTGTGTCTGTGTATAAAACATAGGATTGTGTGTGTGATTGATTTGAAAACTAGGGTTAGAGCTTTCCTAAAAAATGCTGATTTGCAGGTTCTCGGGAAACGAGCTGGGTTTTGGTTCTAGGTACTTCCTTACGAAAGCTATGAAATGCTCCGAGTCCAGTTCTTGCTGACGGGGCTGCCCCTCATTTCAGTTCTGATTCATGTCTTCATGAAGGACGCCTGCTGGCAAGTACCGTTCAAATGGCATCTGGGAGAGCCTTTTCCGCTGTCAATATACTGCGACAGCCCTACTTTTTGAAGTCAAAGAATGAATCTAAGATTCCAGGCTTGGAAGTAATACACACGTGCAGGGTACTATAGCCCACAGATTCTCAGATTTCTTGTAGGCTATAGCCATTATTAGCAGCATCAGGGGTGCGTACAAACGCTGCTGGGAGCAGCAGCAGGTTCCCGAAGCTTTGTAGCACTTTTAAGACATGTTTACCTAGCCACTCCTGGTATTTGTATCACGCTTCAGGAAAACTGTGTTGCAGTCACATTGCTTTTGAAAAATACTGATATGCTGGACAAAATGCACTGTGGTGCCGAAGGGATGGAAATGAAAAATACGTATCAGCCTCCTACTATGTAAATAATAGGTTGAATATATCTGATTCCTTTGCCTAGTGAGTCTGGACACACGCCTCCAATTTTCTTCCTCAGAAGTGTTTTGTTTTCCACATCTATATCTATATGAAATATTTTCTGTATGTATATATGTGTGTGTATATATGGAACTATATATATATATAATATTATATCTATTTCATAATATTCCATGTTATTTATATGGAAATATATATTTTTCCACAGATATGAAATATTCCCCCCTCCCTCCTGTCAATCTTTGGCTAACAGGCTGTGTGAATTTGATGTGTTAGAATTAATTCACCTTTTGAATTTTACTCTTTTCCCCCCTTTTAGCTCTAGCTCGTAAATGATCTGGAGTAGAGGTGGGAAGTGTGTTTGATTCATGAGTCCTTAGTAAGAATTAGTATATAGGACTAGTGATGGTGAGGTCAAATACTTGTGAGGAATTTGCAATGGGGGCATGAATGTTTGTCCAGACTCAGGTTACCGCTTGTCTAGAAGAACCTTTAGGTTGTCTTTAGGGAGGAAAGGGACAGGCATAAAAATACCTTTGATGTCTTGTCAGTTAAAGCTAACTTTCTGAGCATGGCCAGGTGAAATACTTTTCCTGCTGAATCTGCGCATCAGCAGCTCTGGTGTCTATGCTGTTGCTCAGAGCTTCCTAGAATCAGAACTAATAGACATGACTGATTAAAAATCTGTGATCCAGAAATCATTTGGGAACCTGAAGACTGTTGTTATTTCCACCTTCTATCCAGTAAGAAGTCTTTCGGTAGTGGAAGAGGTGTGGGCTTACGTCACAAATGGAGTAGGAAGATCCACAAAATTTAAAACTGGAGAAGTAGCAGTGTGTCAGAAAACCTCATCTACTCACAAGACTTACGGGGCAAGAACCAGACCAATTCAGACAGCGGAGAGAAGGAGAAGAGCTCTTTTTCCATGACTGCTTCAAGGAAGAGAATTAATATTTGGTAAGAAAAATCAATTGGCTGACAAGTAAGATGGAGATTATGAATACAACCTATGGAGACCATCCTTGAAGAAAACCTTTAATGGAGAGGATCCATGATGGCTTTGTAAGGTCTGGAGCACAGGTGTGGGTGGCTGGTTGACTCGAGGTTTGCCTTACGTTCTCCCTTGTAAGCATATCTGTGATTTTAATATTGTCTCCTGTCTCTTAGGTCTCATATTCTGTCAAATTCCATTCATCTTAACTTGCATTTGTAGGTGTTCAGTCATTCTGACTTTTATTTGAATAATTACCTGGTTCCTACACCTGTGCATCCATAAATGTATCATCATAACGTTTTGCCTTGACTGTAAATGCAGTCCAAAACTGCAGAGCTTTTGTTATTTCCTGAAGCTCTCGGAACTCCTGGTTTTAGTCCTCTCATAAAAACCTACACGGATAATTGTAATTCAGTTTTACAGAAAGCTTACTGAAAGTAGTATCAAGCCCTTCTCCTGCCCTTGAAGTCCTTGTGCCAGTTTTTCTGATTTTATAGTTTCAATTTTCTATCTTAAACAGGCAGTCTCTTCTGGTATATGCCTGCTCTTATTTATCTGGATTTTTCATCACCAAGATCTCAGTCTCAGGGACTCCTCGAGTATTGTGGGCAGCCCTTTGAGTTTAGCGCTTAACTTACTAAAGCATGTGTCATTATTTGCATTCTGTTTCCAAGTGGTTGCCTTACATGAGAGAAAACAGTGAAATTGGTTATCTGACAAGTTGTGTTAAATCTTTTTTAAAAGATACTGTATTTTTTGTTATGTCTTCAGTCATAAACGGTGAGGTAAAAGTATAGCTGTAGTAAGTACAACATTTTCAGGCAGGCGAGTGATTTTAATTTGTCAGGTGTTATACTTCATTTTGCAATGAATTGTGTATTTCTTCTGAAAAGAGAGGAAACAGGAGCACTTATATGTAATCATTTAACATATTTTGCCATGTCCTTCTCACGACTGCATATTTTTCTTACTAACCAGCCAGCGTCTGCTCTCAGGCTCGCGGGGTCCCCAGAGGTTGTGCTGCTGCCAAGCTCCGAGACGTCTTTTTGCTGCCGGTGCTGTCAGAGGCTCCGTCACCAGATGATGTGCGGTGCTCACCGCCAAGGCTGAGTGGCTGGGAGGGGGAAAATCCCCCGTGCACGGGGTGAGCAGGGGGGAGGAGGAGGGTTCACAACGGCGGGAAGACCCGCACTCGTCTGTGTTTGCTTACTGCGGTGTCTGAGGGATGAGCTATTCTTTTTTTTCTGTAACGTCCTGCTGTTGTGAGAGAGCTCTTTAATATAATTAATAATGTAACCTTCCCTAGCGTGACTGCTCCATTTGCTGATGTTCATTCCAGCTAGCTTGGAAGCCATCCCTCCCTCCCACGGGTTCAGGACAGACCTTAAAACCCACCGTGGATTTAACATGGCACTAAACTAAGGAGTCCTGTTAGTTAATTATATTCTTTGCCCTTGTCACAGAGACAGAATTTTCCCTCTTTGCTGACCCGCTAATAAAGGCAACCTGACTCTTTCGGTGCTTGTACTGCATCCGTTACTGCCATATCTGAGCATTTGTCTGTCCCCTTACATTTGTACTGAACGTCTCTTTTAAATGTAGCTTAGGTTTCTAGAGGCGCTCTCCTACTTTATAAAAAGCAAATGGAAAGAAATGGGGGAGTTGATGTAAATCTTCTAGGCACTAAGGTGCGTGCCGCTGCCCCTTTCTGCTTGAAAAGATTGTCCCTAGCCACGCGTGTCCCTGCACCTGCAGTTTGTCAGCTGAAAGCACAGGAGTAAAAGTGGGGCTGGGATTAAGGTCCAGGACATGGGAAGAAAGCTGGTACAGAGTATGTGTGTCAAACTGACACTTGAAATCTCCCATCCTACTCCCTTCGTGTTTCTCTCTGTCTCTCACTGGTGTGGAAGGATATCAGGTGCAGAAGGGCTACTATAAAACATTTAACAGTAGCCAGTGTTTCTGAAAACATCATGAGCTTCTGCACATTTTACTACGCTTCTACCCTTTCTTAATTTACCATGAGATACCCTTCGTTGCAGCGGCCACGGTTTTCATATAATGTAGCTTGCTTGGGGCTTAGGGGTTTTTCTTTCCTCTCTATACTTCACAGGGCAGGGAGTAAAAGGTCTGAGATCAGCGGGCCAGGGCATCCTGGCCTCATTCAGGAAAGCTTTTTTTGCCTTCGGTTCAAGGTCTATGCATTGATTTAATATGCAAGAAAAAAATAATAAAGCCCACGTGCAAGTCAGTGAAAAAAACCCCAACCCTGTATTTACGTTTTGCCTGCATTTTTGGTGTTACTGTTCACCATGAATGTAATTCTCTCCCCTGAAATGCGCACTTGGATAACAACAACAAAGCAACGAGAATACAGTTGGACTTGATGATCTTAAAGGTCTTTTCCAACCTAAATGATTCTATGATTCTATGAGAATTAATAAAATACAGAGATGGAAGATGGAATCCGGTCCTACAGATCCTCAGGGCAGATCGCCACTGCAATCAGTGGTTTGGTAATCGGCACAATACCATCTTAAAGAAATACCGTACCATTTGCCTGTCAGTACTGGGGACAAGTGATCTAGTGCACAAGTTGAGCAGTTTATTGTGACGGATCAGGAGATAGATAAGAGCTGGGTATATGCTAACTTTGGAGAACCGTGTCAAAAAGACATTTGCTTTAGGCAAAGGTGCCATTTTTAACACTGTGTCCAGAAGATGCTTCTGAAGTGCACTGAAGAGAGGTAGAGGAGAAAGCAGCTTTTCTGTTGCTAAACCATATCATCACAGCAATGAGTAGTGCATTTCAAAATTTAGCAAACCAGCAGATGGGAAGAAAATTATGTCAGATTTTACAAATCTGTGTTTTAATCAGAATATTGTCAAAAATATATTTACTTGAAGCATTTCAAAGACGGAATCACAGTGCTTTCTCATGTTCTTTAAAGAACTCAAATAAAATAGATACAAAAAAGACGGGGAGTTGCCTGCAGGGATGCAGAAATCCGTGTTTGCCGATCTCAGGGATTTCACCCAGAATGGAAGTTGCTTTTACTAATGTTTTATGAACGCTAAACAAAACTCCCCTGCGCCTTCCTACAAGGCCTGGCTTCCTCCTCGTCTCTCCACCGTCCTCGGAAGACGAAGGGTCTGGTTACAGTTCTGCCAGAACCTTCAGAATGCCTCCGTGATGAGCCATGAGGATGGAGAGGGGATGGATCACGTTACGTGGCCCCTAACAACTGCCTGGGATCTCCTCTGGTCCTCGCACAGTCTTGCCTACTGCTTATTGATTGAAAATGCTTTTTTGTGTTGTTTCTTGTGCATATTTATACTAGTGCCATTTACACTACTGAAGAAATGTAAAAGATCAGAGAGGATAAACTGGTGCACCCGTTTCTCTGTTGGTTACAGAGAGCCAAGTGCTACGTCAAAGCAGTTAATTAAATTTTGACTAAATGAGAGTATTATTTGCAAAACAATGATGGGAGTGCTCAGGAGGGTGAGTAGATGTACACAGCTAGTCTACACAAAAATGTCATGGTTGTGAAGGTATCCAATATGTAGTTTTATCTACCTTTTTTTTTG